AATCAAATGGACCAAAAAAAAAACCGACTGGACTTGACTGGAACCGACTGGACTCGACTGGACTAGCATGGCCTGGAATATCTTAGTATACTTAATTTAATTTAACCTAACTTATATTCCCCTTATAAAAATTTGAACAATAAATTTTGATCTCATTTGACTTTGATATTATCATTATGTTTTGTCTCTTTGATTTTGATCTTAAATTTGTCTTTAAAAAATATTATTAATAATGTTTTTGGTACTACTATATTACACTTGAGAGCTGTCTTATTATACTTGTGTTCCTTGGTAAGGTAGACAAGGTGTATTTTCTAATGAGACATTCATTCAGTTTACTATAGCACGGCGGGATTTCTTTTGATATCGCTCATTAAAATCAACTTTGAAGTGGTGGTGTAGCTGTAAAAATGACCCAACGTAGTTAACTAGCTCTCCTTAATTTGTTCTTTACTAAAATTGTCTTTCCACCAGTATTCATTTTCTTGCCACTAAGTTTGTCTATAATAATAATATGGTTGGCTGTTGTTTTACTATTACCTTTTTCTGTTGTCTTGATTTTGTTAAAAAGAGATTCACAGTAGAAGATAACAAGGAACGTACCCGAGCTACCAGACAAAAAAAAGCTAATGCGATATCTATAAAATGATATATGGACCTAGGAATGACTAAGTAATGAAAAAGGGTAGCATAATAATCTGAAGCTTTTTTGGGGATAAAAGAATTTTAAATCTTTTGTGGTTTAATCATTAGCCTTCTTAAAGCCGCCACTATGGCTATAGAAAATACCAGTCTGTGCAGAAAATAGGCATCAATTTGGCATTCATTTTCTTTTTCGACTAGAAAATAATTTCGTTAACATTAATTCATAAAAGTTACATTAACTATTATTCTCTTTCTTTATTCTTTATACCTTTAAAAATCCTTCAACTCTCAAGTCACTCGACTTGACTCACTGCTACTTTCCCTCTATTTTTGGCGTCCTATACAAACAGTGCAGAGTCAGAAGCACTAAGAAAAAGGCAATTTTTTTGTACAAGTTTTTATTTCTGACCGGTCTTGGGTTACCCAGTAACCGTAGTCAACAAGATGTCTATTTAAATATGTGTGTTGTATTTATTTTACTATTGAACTGAAGCTAAATTAATTTGTAGAATTATTACAGGGAAAGAGGAGGGAAGATTGTAACAAGAATTATAAAGCAGACGAAAAGCCAAAGGGCCATATCTATCATGGTTGCCTTTAAGGGAATCAATAATCGCTGATGTGGCGTAGGTATTACAGTCGAATATACAACGTCAGCGAGTGCTGCCATAATGCCAGGAGGAAAAAGCCTAGTATCTCTAGTATTTTGCAAGTACTGACGTCCCAGTTTCAGATCGGGGATGTGTCAGTGTGATATATAACCACAAAACGTTTCTGACTCTAGGCTAGTTGCGGGATCTTGTATTTTTCCAGCGCTTATCACCAGAAGACCTACTTCATATGACATGAAATCCAGAAATTCCGGCCATCTTTCATATCCAAATCGCATACAGTTCAATTGGGAGAAGGGAACTTTTCACATATAATGTGATCAAGTCGAGACCAAGTCGAGGTTGAATCAATTAATAAACACCGCCAAGCTGTGTATGGGGGATCCGTAAGTCTTTGTGATCTCAGCGTTTCAGTAGCACCAAATCATATTGTTTTTTTTTTGCGTCTACCACAGGTTGACCATGGATCGCCCACAATAAAACCAAAGAAGATAAATCGATATCCCCCTGGGTATTCTCTCTGTTGGCACTTAAAATGGGCTCGCATATTCGAGCTCATAACCAGCAAACCATTAGTCAATCCGGCTCGGCACGCTATTGTATATAATCGAGTACTTGCTGTGGGTGTCTCCGGGAGCAGTTGACATGCCTCTGTGTCCCATCATTATATCAGATACAATATATCTTGCCTCTGCCCTCAAAAACCAAGAAGAATCATCTGACTTTACAATTGGGTGTATAGAAAGTTGTAGAATAAACAATAATGATATCGGTCAGGGGACAAAAGGATGGATGTAACTGTGAGTTAACGTGTATATTATGATAGGATTTTCTAGCAAAGACAAGACAAACGATTGTCCCACGCCAAAACGTTCTGTACCAAATTAGTCGTTGTATGTACACAAAGTGTAAAGC